CTTCAGTCTTTCAAGCAGAAAAATCAGTTAATGCAGGTAATGGTTAAATTGTCTTCACCCAAGGCATGAAATAAAAGCAAAGCTTTGGGATGTTCTTTCTGTTGAGCATAAAATAGCTGACATTCTAGTGGGTGCTATGAAAAAGGTAAAGAGTGAAGATAAAAGTTCTTCCTTTTTTTGCAATAACAACAGGAATACAAATTTTAGTGGAACAGTGTCACAATAGAAACTAATGTGCTTACTAGGTTAAGAGACCCATGAAGTTGAAAGATAGTGTGGATGGTCTGTGGTACAAATATAGTTCAGAAAAGCATTCAAACAAGGTGTGACACTTTAGCAATCAAAATAGAAGTTGTAGTTGACAAGCCTGGCAATGTGTTTGTAAATAGGCAGAGTAATATGGCCTACGAAGTTTCTCTGAAGAGTCTCAGAGTGAACATGAAAAACACTTGAGGAGAGTATGCACACTTTCTTCTCCTGCTTTTTCTCATCAACCACGTTTGAGATGTGAGTCTGAAGAACCCCTCTGTTAATTAATCTACGTCTGCTACAATGAGAGTGATGCAGTGACAAACAACTGCTCTCAATGTTTATTACTTTTGTGCAAAATTTAGGTAAATATGTCATCAAAGTATCCAACAAAGGCGGCACAAAAAATGTCCAGCTTTTAAAAACTGTTAGCAACTCATTGAAACACAACTTATAAACAAGAAGATGTTGAATACATTTATTCCCACACAAGAAAGAAACTAAACAAATTAAACTATGAGTGCTCAGTGGTACAACTGACTGAACATCAAAATTTATTAATTATGCTTTAGAACAGCTCAGCTTCTAGAAAGAATATTTTTATGGTGTTACTATTTTTGATTGAACAAATGTGTATTTGTATGACAATGGAACAAAACTGAGAAAGGCTACAATTCTGCACAATTTAAACTTGGTGAGACTTCCAAAAGAATCGAGAGTAGAGAAACTGTCTTTGATGAGCTTGTCTTACAAAATATTTTGAAGAAAGTTTTCTTTTTCTGAATGGAGGCTAAAATAGTTATACAATTTAGTACAAAAAAGTCAGAATTGAGAGTGGCCTCCACTGACCAGAATGTGCTCAGCAGACACCAGTTATCTCGGTGTCTGTAAAGACCATCTTCTCAATCGTCAGAGAAGAGTCCATCAGGAGTGTCAACAAGTTCAAATGTACTGGCCATAAAAGGCAATCTGAAGAACATTGCATTTTACGAAGGTAGGAGAGATAAAAGAAGATACTGAAAAAAATACATTATTCAGGAAAATATCAGTGACAGGATGTTTTAGATATGTTAGCTATATTAACAAAATATATAGGAGCTCTGGTGGCATAGTGCCTAAGACACTTGACTACTAACCAGAAGGCTGGTGGTTCAAACCCACCAGCCACTCCTCTGGAGGAAGGTTGGGCAATCTACTTCTGTAGTGATACCACCTTGGAAACCCAAGGAGGGGTTGGAGTCGGGTCTGACTTGACGGCACATAACAACAACAACAACATGCACAAGTGGGTGGTTGGAAACAACAGACATGTATTCTCTCATCGTTTGAGAGGCTATGGATTCAGGGCATCGGTAGAGCTAAGCTCTCTGTCTCTGTGTGTGGTGGGGGACGTTCCAGGAGGCGAGTCTTGCTCTTTCAACTTCTGTTACCCCAGGCATTGCTTACGGTTCCTTGGCTGCTGGTAGGTGCATCTTCCCATGGTGTCTGTCTTCCCTGTGTCTATCTGTGTCTACTCTGCTCTTTTATAAGGACTTCGCTCAGAATTGGAGAAAAGTCCAAGGAATAATATATTGCAACCTACTAGTATGTCACAACCATACCATTAAATAGAAAAGTACAGCAGAAGGTATTTGAAACATGAAATCTTTCAAAAAGTGTATTTCTCATTCATCCTTTCTTTGCAAGCAACTAGAGTATGTTTTCTACCAAATGAGGAAACCATGGGAACCAGAAAACCAGGATTCACCATAAGACAGAAGCAAATAGAAGAAGAGCAAGCCTAAGATGGCAGGTGTCAACCCGGAGCAGGTAGAAAGACCAAGGAGCGACGTCTGTATTGGTGGCTCTCGACACCATGGCAGAGGATTTCAACGGAACTCTGCTCGAGTCTTGCCTGGGCCCCTTGTTAACCTAATACCATGTCCAAAAACAAGGAGAGGAGTAGGAACCAAATCCTTCCATCATCTGCATCTCTAGATTTAGAGCTAAGAATGCTGAGATAAACAAACGGAGTGGATTTGGAAATGATGCATCAGCTGCCTCCTCCTGTGGGGTGAAGTGTGGGCACTAGCAAGGGCCTGCCCATCAAGCCAAGGAGACATTCCCCTCCACACACATCCAGGTCTCAGGATGACCGAGACCTGCAACTATCCAGAAAACAGACTGTTGCAACTTCTCTCCATCTTCATCTTCACCATCATATGCACCGAGTGCATCACTGGAATCATTGCAAATGGGTTCAGTGTGGCTGTGAACGCAGTCGGTGGGTTTGGAATGAGACAGCTCCCACAAGTGGCAGGATCCTGTTCCTCCTGAGTGCATGCAGAATAGCTCTCCGGAGCTTCACGAGGCTGGAAACGATGCTCAGCTCGCCTTCCCCCGTTTTGATAACCGGATGTGGTGTATGGGATATTCAGAGTCAGCCTCAGGTGCTTCGGTTATTGCGGTCTCTGGTTTGCTGCCTGGCTCAGCTTCCTCTACTCTGTGGAGATCTCAGGCTTCTCCTCCCTCTCTTCCTCAAGCTGAAATGGAGGATTTCCAGATGGCGTCCTGGCTTCTGTGGCTATTGGTGTTCTTTGCCTTGGGGTACAGTGTGCTCTTCTCCAAGGACAGCCTCACAGTATATTGTAGCAACTCTGTTTCTAGCCCCTTCTCCAACTCCACAGAGAAGTACTTCACTACGACCAACATGGCCAACCTGATCCTCCTATATAACCTGGGCATCTTCCTTCCTCTCAGCATCTTCATCCTGGCAGCCTCCCTGCTCATCCCTCTCTCAAGAGGCATGCCCTGAACATGAAAAGCAATGCCACTGGCCCCAGGGACCCGAGCATGCAGGCCCACATGGGGGCCATCAAAGTCATCAGCTACTTCCTCATCCTCTACCTCTTCAATGCAGTTGCTCTATTACTCTATATGCCCAACATCTTTGACACCAACAGTCCCTGGAACATTTTGTGCAAAGTCATCATGGCAGCCTACCCTGCTGGCCACTCAGTGCTGCTGATCTTGGGCAACTCTGGTCTGAAAAGAGCCTGGAAGAAGCTTCAGCACCGAGTTCATCTCTACCTAAAAGGACAGACTATAACTGGCACCCAGGGAGCACCATGGGGCCTGGTCCCCCAGCTCTTCATTTCCTCCCCAGACTTCTCTCTTCTCTCCTTTTCTCCCCACAAACTCCTATCTTGACCCCTTTACGCAGTTTTTTGTACAGGAGAGCAATCTTCACTCCTCTGTTTAACATACCATTTCCTCAGACCCTCTATTTCTATCTCCACTTGCCCTGTCTAAAGCAGTCATTCTAAACCATGGAAACACAGTAGACCCTGTAGGGGGGTGGGGGAGATATTTCAAAATACCAGTGCTGTGGCCCTACGTAGATCATTAAGTCAGAATTTTCACTGATGGAACTCAAATGATTTTCTATAGTTCTTCAGGCTGATATAGCCAGTTGGGTACAAGACTGACATAGAGGAAAGTTCCTGTAACTCTCTCTTTCCCATTACACATGAATTTGGGAAGTCTGCTCAGGGCGTGCTCTGGATAAAACAAACTGGTTCAGATTATTTGGTAGGCTTTCCAAGCAGCAACTGGAAGTGCATTTTGTCTCTTCCTCAAAGATATAACCTGAATAATTTGAAAATACCTATCAAAATATTAACAGTGCATAAACACCCTTCAGACTGTCAGAGAATTTTTCCTGGAGATAATATAAATAGGCAAAAACACATGCAGAAAGGTCAACTCAATTCTTTAACAATATTATTCATTAATGAGAACATTGGTATATCAATGGAGTGGGATGCTTGTAACACTTTTTTTTTTAATGAGATAGATCTATGTGTCCTGAAATGACACAATATGTCTATATTGTGAAGTGCAAAAAGTAAAGAGACACTTTGTGATTCTATTTATTTTCTTTTTTATAATAAATATACATAAATTCTGTATGAGTATAGTGATTAACCATGCTATCAAAATGGGTAAGAAGATAGGGACCACAGAGGGGTGTGTGTGTGTGTGTGTGTGAGGTGTGTGTGTGTGTGTGTGTAAGGTTTCGAAAAATGACTCCTGGGCATCAGCACTGGTAATCTGCTAGATAACTGGGCCATTTACATTCATTTTAAACCCTTCCATGTTGTTTGAGCTATTTAAAAAATGGCCACATAGTTTCAATTTCACAATTTTTAAAGCTTTACATTGAATTTTTTAATTAGAAAAAGAAGTAGATAAGTTGGAAAGGTTTGAGGAGAAGCTCGTATGCTTTAATTTGTTGGCTGAGCCTCTTGCTATGTTTGTTTTTGTAAACACTGCAAACCTCCCAGATCATGAATTCAAGCATCTCACTCACCTACCACCCCTTTCCACTCTTTCATGTGACTTGCCCAAGGGTTGCCATGGAAAGTCCCAGGCCTTTCATCCACTGACACCTCTATGGTCCCTATCTTCTTACCCAGTTTGATTGCATGGTTAACACTATACCCATACTCCTTAAAAATACTTCTAGTATTTACAGACGAAATGAGATATGCCTGAGGCTGGCTTTAAAACAATCCAGCAGAGGGTAAGTGGGTGAGAGAGGGGAGGGTTAGACTGGTCACATGTTGACGCTTTTTTCAAATAAGGTTTCGGGTACGGGGATTCTTTACATCAGTCTCTGCTTCAGAGTGTGTTTGAAATTTTCCCTAATAAGAAAATTTTAAATAAACGATAATGAAACACTCTAATTTCCTGGTCCCTTCCCCCTTCATCTCTCTCTTTGGTACAATCTCTCATCTATAGCAGCTCCATTACTTAACCACTCTGTGTTTGCTTCTGGGAAGCTATGTCACTTGGGAACATTCCATACCTGGATGAACTTAATGGTCCCACAAATCCGTCAGGCACAGTGAGTTGCATCATTGGGTGTCCTTATCCTGTATTTCTCTAAAGTGGTCACTCCTTAACTACCTGTAAGGACCACTTCCCATCTTTTCCTCAACCCTCAAGTCTGCAACCCCTCTTCTTTCTGCCTCCTTCGCAATTGATTAACTGGTTTTCAGTTCCTTCATGGAAGCCCTTAGAAGAATGTTCCCACTGGCAAATCCACAAAAGCACCCACTTCTTCCTGCCTCCCTAACACCTCTGTAGAAAAGTGCTCCTCCACGAAGAAACTGATCAGACATGTTTGAACGATTTTTCCCCTACCTCTTTTCTTTCTCTTTCCTCCAAGTTCCATTTTCTGTGCCTTTCACTTTCTTTCTTCCATGAGTGAGACTTTCCTCAAAGCATCTGGTGGCCCATGAATGACAGCACTAAGAAACTGATTGCAAAATTTAAAAACAAAACTTTAAAAATCCTTTAAAATATCAAAACTCATCTTGAAGGCTCTGCATGAGAGGCACTGAAAGTAACACAGGCACCATATGACCCAGCAATCCCACCACTAGGTTTATACTCTAGAGAAACCAGAGCTGTGACACAGATAGATACAGGCCCCCTCATGGCCATCACAGCATCATTCTATTCATGACAGCAAATACATGGAAATGACCTCAGTGCCCACGTTCTGGCACAAAAGCACCGAGTGCTTTGAAATTACAACAGAGACTCCCTGCAGATAATAACCCAGTGGGGCAACTCGGAAGAGAAATGAAAGCAGATCTAGATCACTGCAAGGAGGAAACCAAGTGTCCACAAGAGGGGACTGTGGCTTTGCTCGGGTGGGTTAGCAGGTCCCTTTATGTAGTCTTGAGGGTTATGGCTTGTGCAAAGGTTATCAGTCGAAAACAAGGTTAAGTGTTCCAGGTCATCCCTTGTCAGATGTGGCCACAATGTCCAGAAAGGTCAACTCTGAGGTAGCCTGCAAGTTATTTCCACAGGAGGAAAGGAGCAGCGTGGGTACTCTATTCCATCACTGCAGTGTAGTAAATTACTTTGTGTGGCTTTTCTACCCATAAGTCTTTGTAAACTCCAAGGTGGAATTTGCTATGAGCAACTGAGGAGCTCCTGATTGCTGAAGGTGTCCACCTGGAGTATTTCTGTTGGGAGTGGCACAAAACAATGTTCTGGGAGGTGCCCACTCTCT